CTGTCTGACTGACTGCCTGTCTGTCTCTCTGGATAGAATCTGATTTCCTCACCATATGGCATGTTGTCAGTGTTTGTGTGTGTGTGTGTGTGACTGACTGAATTTTAATCCTGAGACGGGTCTCACAGTCAGTGTGTCATTGAGATCAAACCTGCAGTGCTTTTTAAAAAGGTGCAACCAATATTTATTTTGACCATATGAACAGCAGGTAATTTACTATTCAAGCAGGGGGTTTACTGGTCATCTCGCCCCTTCCAGCTTCATGGCTTCGTGGCTGAGAGAGGGGAGCCGAGCAGCTTAGGTCTCCCAGCCACAATGGTGTTTACGATTTGGTGCCCCTGACCCGGGTCCTCGTCTGTTGATTGCACAACTGGTTTTCTGGAAACCTTTGTGTGCTGAATCTGAGGGCGCTCCTCTTACAACTCTGCATCTGGCTCATTGGTTGTGTGGTGCGATTTGCATGGGTTATGAGGCAATGGGTTGGAGCATTGTCTCATCAGCCGCCCTATAGAGGAGTGTGTTATTGGAGGAGATTGCCCGATGCTTCACGGTCTTCCATCTCTACCTTTGCATTGTTATATCTCAGGGATATGACATCTGTTTGTATGTCACACTCAAAAAAGCAAATAAGCATATTTCCCAAAATGCCAATATACTGAATAAATAAATATATTGAATCTAAAAAGAATGCGATCACCTAATTCAATACCTTCCATGACTATAACAGGTTGCTAAAACTCCCAAGTTCCCACAAAGAAGAAGGCATGAGGACCTGATCTAAGTGTCCTTAATGGTAGCTACAACCCTGTGACACCTTGGACCAGGGATCTCAAACTGATCTTGAACTACTACGACATGATGTCAAAAATATAATACACTGTAATCTGGCCTGCAAGATTATTATTTTGTCTAGTTGTTTCATATAAAATTTCATTGAATTTAAAGAAATTATTTAGTTTGGCCCAAATAAAATGATGATATCAAAATGTATAAAACCTGTTGTTTGCATACATTTTTTTTGTATTTAGTAAGATGTTAGTAATGGAAATAGTTTCAAGTGGCCCTCCTGTGAGATGATAATACCAGTAGTGGCTCCAAGCCAACTTGAGTTTGAGACACCTGCCTTAAACATAGTTCAGGTGAACAGTCCGCCATTTTAAATCAGCGCTCAAGTTCTGTTAAACAGAAGTTAACCATAGCAACAGTATTATTGCTTCAGGCTCCATTAGCAGATAGCTGACTGGTAAAACTAACTTAACCATGAGTTAAACTGACTGCACTAAAACACACAATGAGCCACAACGATGCATGAAGCATTCGTATGCACAGATTTGATCTTAGGTCGTGCGTGTGAACAATTCAAAAACTTGTGCCGTTACATACTCTTTGTGTTGCAAGTGCTCTAGACTACAGGTAAGCCAAAACGCACAAAAGCCACCTTGATTCTTGCGCTGTAAAATATTAATAATGCACATGATAAAGCGTGTTACTTTATGAAAACACAGAAGAAATATGTTTCACAATTATTTATTAATTTCATAATTTCAATGTTTACACGTTCTGGAAACTCAATTTAGATCACCGACAAACGATCTAATCCCACCACCTCATCTGCGAGTACGTCAACAGCTCTGAGCGCATCTGTAGTCACCTGGTGTCCGTGGGAACAGCTTCCTGCCTGGGAACTTTAACTGTTTTCTATTGTCCAGGAATTAATCTTATTAATGCCACTGAATACTCCCATCTGTCTCATACACACATACACATACACACAGTTCCCGTGTTAATTAGTGTTAATGAACCACCATCTCACCACAACCTATTATTCAAACACAGCAGCCTTCACTGCTGCCAGCTGATTGGTCAGCAGTTTACCTGGGAGGAACCAGGGAGAGGTGAAGGGGGCGGGGCTGCAGCGAGCAGAGTAAACCTGTGATTTAGAGTGAAACTGATCCTGCTGTTAGACATCTGTCTGATTCCTCCCTCATGAGTTCAGTAACACCGTCTGCTTCACTCTGTCTGCGGGTTTGTTTGTTCTCAAACGCTGTCCCTGCTGCCAGTCTTAGAGACCATCAGCCAATCGCATCAAAGCTTCACAGGAACACAAGTCCTGATTGGCTCACTGAGCTGCTTGAAGTAAATTAAATTAGAACAACAATGGGGAGGTGACTATAGACCTAGAGCGAACAGAATCCACCGAGGATGACATCTGGTAGAACTCACAAAGGATAGTATAACTATAGATCTAAAAAAGGTAGAGCCCACCAAGGATGACACAAAGATACATCTAGGAGAGGTGGAACCCACCCAGGGCAATGTGACTGCAGATCTAGACCAATGCAAATTATTTAGACCAGGTAGAACCTGCCACAGCCAATGAGACTATAGTATAGACCAAGGATGTTGTACCTACAGATGTAGAACAGGTAGAACAGGTAGAACTTACCAAGGACAATGTGCAGGGCTGCAGTGACTGGATCTCTGACTCCATGAACAGAACAGGAAACAACGTCTGTAGAACCTGTGAAGATGGACAGACAGTCGATAAAACACCCTGTCCTGACAGTTTCTACATAATGTGGATGTTTGTGTTTCCATGCATTATTGTTGCACTGTGTGTGGATCCACATCCTATAGATCAATATCAGGGTGTGTCCTCTTTCGCACCACCAGGAATGATTCCCAGGGGCAGCACTGGTTTCACTGGTTTCTTTGGAGAATCTGCATCCAGCTGAGCTCTGAGGACCATAGCATGACACAGCTCCGCCACTGAACCGTCCCCACCGACACACACCACCCTGACAGACAGGTGGAGACAGAACAGTGTAAGGACAGGTGGACAGCCAGGTAGGTCAAAGAGTTATTAAAGTTGTCTCAGTCATCTAAAATAAAACTTTCCTCTGAACTTTTATTTTGAAGTCGAAGACATTTCATGTTATGGTGGTTCATTAACACTAATTAACACTGGCACTGTGTGTTACAGAGTGTGTGTGTGTGTGTGTGTGTGTGTGTGTGTGTGTGTGTGTGTGTGAGAGAGAGTCTCTGCTCTCCTGTGGGCTGGTGGTGTGGTGTGATCCAGACAGGAAATCCAGTGAACAATGAAGACTTATTAAAGAGCTTTACTTTTGACACCTCAAACAGGTATCCTCAAATACGTGCATCCAGCAGGGGGCGTGGCTTCTCCACAAGAACTACTGCTGACTATTTCCTCAAGATAGCACTGAAAGAGGGTTGGGCATCAAACCTCAATAGTTTTTTGGTACCAGCTGAAATGTCTATGTAGCGCCAAGAAATTAAACTGTAACTGTTTATTTAGACAGAAAGATATTTTCAATTTGGAAACCAAATGGCTTCTTCTGTTGCATCAGAAATTGTAAATGATACCCAGTCCTAACAGTAAATGACTTTAGCTTCACAATAAAAGTCCAGTAAATTGTTTTACCTTGAGACAGAAACATAAACAGACAATATCGGGGTTGAATCACCCGAAGAGGAGTTTACATTTTACAATTATATACAGTTGAAGGCATAAATAACATTTTAAATGTAAAGTTCGGTTGGTGACTAGGCAAAAATTGCTTTGGTAGGTTTCTTAGGGTTCTGCTTCGGTAGTCTGGCCTCTAAAATCCAACCTATTGTGGACAATAGACATAGAGCAGTAGTACTACTGGTATTGGTTGTGGTAATAATGAACTAATATACCTAATCATAACTTAATTGGTTGGGTCCGTCCGGGTTTTCAGGAGCTCATTGAAAAGCGAGAAGGCTCATCTTTAGAGTTTGTGTTTGCAGTAAATGTGAGGTAAATAGACTCCGCCTCTCCCCCTCCTCCTGCGTATGGGATTACCTGTAGCTCCGGTCGCCACGGTGACAGCCAGCCTAATTGGCAAATGTAGGTTTCAACCAAATCCTCACCAGAGCAGCCTCACACACACACACACACACACACACTCAGCAGCTAGCTTAGCAACGAAGCTAATCTTCTCTAAGCACATTAAGCTTTATGAGGGCTGAGCACAAAAGCTGCTTACACACACACACGAACACACACACGCAGAGACCATCACAGATAGTGATGAGAGTTTGATCAGTGTTTTTGTACTTGTAGTTGGAGCTATTGTCGTTGTAACATTATTTGTTTCAGTAGCACAAAATATTATTTTCACTTTTATTAAGGAGGTTTGCTCAGTCAGCAGTTGGTGTTTGACCTCACCTGTCTGTGTTTGTGCGTGTGTGTAATCAGTCTGGGTCAGTGTGTTTTAGTGTCACTTGAATTATCTGGTTCAGTTAACTCTGTTATGGAAGAATGATGTCACAGTTTACCTTCCACTTGAATGTCAACACAGGGCCTTAATGTATAACTTAATCCTTATTTACTTTAACTTCTGTCTTCTTTTCAGATTGTTTGCCTATCATTTCTATCATTGATAGTAACATTGGGATTGGATTTGGGGACGGTTACAGCGACCCCAGACAAAGTTATTATCTGAGATAGTGTACTAAACACATTGGTTAGCCCTCCTAAACGCCTAGTCTCTTCTACCGTTAAAGTGTGACATACTGCTGGTAATACAAACAATAAAGCATTAATCTAACCTCTGTCTTCAGTATGTAAACAGGGTTAAGTTAGAATGAGATAACTGTCTATCTTAACTTTTTCCTCATCACACTTAAAATAGGAGGACTAACAAGCTCTACTCGGGAATACAAGGACAAGAACACATTAACCCTGTTAGCGTTAGCTTCATTCTCTTAGCATGTTATCATGTATGAAGCTATGAACTCCTAGTGTTCCCCTTTTAAAAGGACACATCTGAAAACCTTGACTCAGCAAAGACAGAGTTTTTAATCAACTCAAGGAGCTAAGATTAGCTTAATTAACTATTAGCTTTAGCTAATAAAATCTGCCGGTGGCTGATGTAATTTTAGCAAAACCGAAGGTTGCTTGAAATGACACACTGCTTTGGTGTAGGCTGACTGAAAATCAAAGACACATTGCTTAAAAAATGTAATAGAATCTCAATGTGCTGCGCAAGAACGCAAAACTTGACACGAATAGCACCAGTAACTGAATACTAAAGATAAAATAGTCAGTGGAACGATTTCTGCCCAAAAATGCAGCCTCTCCCAGGGAACATAGCTTCGTCGCTACCATGCCACTGCAAATACTAAACCCTTCAAATGTTGTTATTAAGCTAATATAACTGGATCAGCTACTATGGTGCTGTCGTTTCTTGTTGTTTGAGTGTATTAAGTGCAGAAAATCTAGTGTACTACTAAAGACTACAAAAAATCAACACATTATCTAACTTGCATGAAAGAATAACATAATATAAAGATGAGCATCATTTTATGCACTGCAACTGTCTGCAAGTAATTGCAAAAAAAATCTCCATTTTCTCAGGAGAAGAGTGATATATTCCCAGCCAAGTGATCAATATAAAGTCACAGAAGAGAAAGGGGGAGAAGATAAGAGACTAACCCATCATATTCATCCAGCTTGCATTCCTTCATCACTGAGAGAGCATGACCCTTCCTCTCTGTCACTGGAGAGAGAGAGACAGAGAGAGGAGGAGAAAGAAGGAAAAAGAGAGGGAAACAGATGGAGAGACATTGAGATGGACAGAGATCGAGTGTTCATGCATGTGTGTGGTCAAGTACACGAGTGTGTGTTCGATGGATGCCAAAAAAAAAAGTGGGACAATGGATATCACACCATCTGCTGAGAAGAGGACAGGATAGGAAAGGAGAAGATGTGAGGAGGAGGAAAGAAGGAGAGGAGGAGAAACCAGGAGAAAAAAAGAGAGGAGAGGAAATAAGAGAGGAAACATGAGTAAGGGAGAGGAGAGGAATCAGAGGAAAAGAGGGGAGAGGAGGGAAGAGGAGAGGAAACAAGAAAAATCAGATAAGGGGGAGGCGAGGAGAGGAAACAAAGAGAGGAGAGAATAGGAAACACTGGAAAGGAGAGGAGACGAGGAGAAAAGAGAAGGAGAGGAGATGAGGAAGGTAAAAGAGGAGAGGGGAGAACAGGAAAGGAAACATAGGAAAGGAGAAGAGAGACAAGGAGAGGAGATAGAACAAGGACAAGAGATGGAAAGGAGAGAAAACAGGAGAGGAGAGGAGAGGAAAGGAAAGGAGCAGGTTGTCGCCCTCTGTCACAACAGATGGGCTAAGCTCCACCCCCTGTATCAGGTTACCTAGCGACCAGAGACTGCCATTAACTCTGACCTTTGGACCTCCTCTACACACACACAGATTCAACATTGTCTTCTCTGCAACAGTTCTACTGCCCTTAAACTCATTATTGTATCACAATACATTACAATAGCTGTGACATCATCCACCAATCAGTCTGAGGTATAAAATAATAATCACTACTATCTGTTGATGACCAGTCGATCAATAAAGAAGTGGGTGAACTGACCTGTGATGTCAGTGCGGATGTCAGCCATCTTGAAGAGCGGAGCCACATGTTCTCTGTAAATGTGAACGGCCTCCTTCTTGTGGCTGCTGGGGTTGATGAACACCTTTAGATACCTGGGACGAATGCTGAACCCTGCACACACACACACAC